AGTATCTCTTGGCCTCCATAATCCAGCAACAGGAACCATGAATTTTTAAATTAATACAGCAAACCAATTTCATTTTAGCTTTCACTGAACTAGGACAAAACCCCAAGGATTCAAATATGGTCATGTTTTTCTCATTGATAGCATCTAGAACTATTTATAGGCCTATATCCTATCCAATAAGTACATTGTGCATTCACGTTCATCTGAGTGGCTGCAACATCTTCCTCTCTGACTTACAGTGTCCTCTGTCACTCCTTAATCCTTCAGAGCTGAAATCGCACAACTCCAAGTAAGGTCACAGCATTTACAAATAAGGCCATAAGCCCAACGGAAGGTCAGCTGTAGAAAAAGGCTAATCTCTGGAAGAGAGGTCTGAAGTCTGGGAGAACTACTCATCTCTCTATGAAGGGTCTTAAGCTCAGAAATAGGAATCATTCCCAAAAGATGGGTGTCCCATATTAAAGCTGGGAGTAAGGTTGTTAATGTAACAGTTTGGGGCATGAATTTTAGTCCAGAAAAATAATAGGTAATAAAAATTACCTTTCTTGCCACTGTTTTCACTTCCACTATTAATTTATACTCAAATCAGTGATCACCTGATCAGGTTCTTAATAGTTGTTTGGTGCTTCTTGTTCTTTCTTGTGTACCTTCTTCTCATTTTTTGTATGTTATTCCCTTTATGATCACATACCTGTCTGTCTTCTTTATATTCTTGCAGTCATCTGTGTGCCTTCCTCTGTACAACTTTTCATCTTTGGTTTTATTCTGAATAAATCTAAAAGGACTTTAAGAATGTATTTAAATCTTTCTGGAAAACAAAATCCTACTTTTCTATTTATAACAGTTATTGATCTGTCACAATGAACTTTTCTTCCCTGACTTGCCATTTGGAGGCTGGATGTTTCCTAAAGTCCAAAGTCAAGACAGGATTTTATTTAGATTTTAGTGCTAACCTGCCTTACTTGCATATACTTTTAATGGGTTTACCTGACAGTTTGATTATTTTACTTTACTCTGTGAATAGTTGGCAAAAGTCACTTTTCATTTCTACTCTTTTTACTCTGTGCAGTGTCTTTTCTTAAACTCATAAATGTACATGTATATATTTGTACAGAAATAAAACCCTATGAGATAACTGACAGATCTGTAAGAAAACAGGCAAAGAATCAGCAAAAGTTTGAACAGTTGATTTCCTTAGGTGGTAAATCCTAATGAAATAAGACTTTTGTGGATTTTAGTTTCTTCTCAGGTATGATCGTCTTTCCTGAAAGGCAGCTTAGTAGTGGTAATTACGTTAATGACAAAACCTTCCAATCTGATAATGCTGCAGTGTAAAGCTTAGGCGTTATATATTTACGGTAAAAATTATGTCACTACTGTGTATTGTTCACATATTCTATAAACCTGAAGTGCAATAAATCCTTCTTTTGAAAGTAAACTAGATGTACAGTAAGACAGCTGTAAGATATTCTAAGACCTACATAAGCAATATAATAATTCTTGCTCCCTTTTTCTGAATCTTCACTAAAATAAACTTGCACACTATGCTGTATTTGTCAGTGTAGTTTGGTGTAGGTTTTCACTTTGTGTGTCCCTGTTATACTTTAATTACAGATACAAAAATATTTTTGGCCATTCTGGACTGTATCTTTATCCCCGTGTCTCATATGACATGAAGCAGAATAACTATTAAAATTATTTTTCTTAAAACTTTTATTTGAATACTCCCCTAGTTTTTGTGGTTGCTTTCAGCAGATTATAAACAACATCGGGGGCAGTTAACTGCCAGCCAGCATGTTCCCCAGTATTCAGAGCAATGCTTAAAATCTTGTTTATTTGTATGCATAACAGCAGAAGTTACATTGCAAATATTCTGAAACTAAAAGAGAGCAAATTTATTTCTTTAACAAACATAGTTAGAAAAATATTTCATACATAATTTCACTACATGCATCAATCTGGAGTGTCATGACACAGAGGAAATTCAGGTATGGCACCCAGTCCCTTTGTAGAAGTCTGTGCTGATCCCAGCATAATGTCTTCCTTAACACACATAAGATGTCAATGGATTTCCATTACCACCTCCTGAGAAACAGAGGCATAGCTACGTCATTTGTGAAAATCAGTAGCACCAAAATACCCTTGTCATATGTTGCCATAAGAAAAGCTAGGATATTTGATCACCTTTTGTAAGGAAGCAATAGCAGCTACACAATTGTCTTTAAGGAAAAAATAAGTTGTTTTAATACTAACAGAATAATAATTCCCCCATAGCTATGTGGAACTATATGGATGGTCTTCAATATCTTTGGGTAATCTGAGAAGCTGCAGTGCCAATTCTATACCATGCTCATGAATCTGCACCTTGGCAGAAAGGTGCAAAACACTATTTTGGAATACATGGCACAAATACCACTCTATTTTGCAACATTTCTTAAAAAGTATAGTCAAACACGTGATGCTCGGTAGCTCCACTGCTCACAGGATCTTCAGTGACTGTCATCTCCCAGCACTAATTCTTCTTTCAGAGGAGCTGATGGCCTACATTGAGCCAACACTGCATACCAGTCTGCTGAATCAGCTCAGTATAAGACTGTTTTGGTATGCAACCCAGCAAGCATCCATGCTGAGTTATTTTTCTTTGCTCCAGGCAGAGCAATTAAGAGGTATTTTTTACTGCATTTGCAATGCAGGCAATTCAGCCTTCTTCCCAGTGTTGTAGTCTGGGAAACACAATACTCTGCAGTTGCTTTTTCTGTGCAGCATTGACTGAGAGTTTTAGACTGGGTTCCAGTAAACTGAGGCTGAATAGTAGTTCAGTTGCATGGTGCAGCAGTCGTTTGTCACACCCTGTCTCTTCATTATCTGTCAATGTGGCCACAGGTTGGGGTACTAGGTGTGTCAGAGTGACTATTTTTGGTAGCACAGTATTTTCTTAGACTGAGCCTGGTTTCTGCAGGAAAAGGACTGTATCTATCTGTTCAGTCAGTGAAGAGAAACACAATGCTCAAGAAATGTAATTATTCTAGTGTCACATTGCCACGATGATGACTTCAGAACACCTGCGATGAGCTTTGATGGGCATCTTTGTCCCATTTACCATAGCATAAAGTAAGGTTTTGTGGATGTATTTTGTTAATTCTTCCATTCTGGCTCATCAGCTTGTCTTCTGTCCTGACAGATTCATGTGACTGGGGCAAATATATTTACTTAACAGAAATTCAGCTCTGAGAATTCAAGAGACTGTAACTAATTTATGTTGTTTCTCCTCTGAAAATTGCTCTGCTCAAAAGGTTCTTGGACATGTGATCCATTTGTTTTGATGGATTTTACATTTTCTTTAGGACTAGGTTGTCTGTGGTAGCTGCAAGCTAAGTTTGGTGTGCAGTGCTTCTCCAGACATGGTATTTAGCTTATGAGGGACATATTCCTAATTATATCTTTGATTTATTATATTCCATTCTATGCTACCTAGTATATGCAGCATTTCTTGATATTAAATCTGTACTAGCAGAATGATAACTTCTGATTAATGCATACAGCATTTGAAGGGAGTATACTCTATTTAAGAATGCTCAGAATTGGTATAATAATTTTCCAGTGTTATACAATACTAATTTTATCTTCTTTACTCCTAGTAAGGTTAATGTGAAATCACTGCATCTGCAGCCAGTCTGCCTGTAGATGATAAGATACCGTTACTGATCCTTATTCATGCAGTATTGTATGGTTGTTTATCTAGTGAACTTCATAAATCGTGTGTCATTCATTCAAATACTTAATGTCCCTTGAACAGAAAATATGCTGTACAACTATTTTCTCAGACACTGCCTGAAAGTTTATATTCCTTGGCAGTAATTGCTACTTAGCTCTTTTGAGCAAAACATTTTTTTCACTATAGAAAATAATGGCATTTCTAGTTATATAGACTTGTATTTCACTATTTTTCATATTTTGGGTAATATCTTGAATTTGAATTTGCTACCACTTGTTTCTTATAGCATCCTAGACTGGAATCTAATTACATATGGGCTGCCCTCAAAAAGTATTCAGTTAATTTCTATTCTCAAGGAACAAGAGATTGGCATTTGTCCCCTTGGAAGATGTGAATTATGTATGTCCTCTGTACTCATTTGGAAGAAAGCCTTCTGAGTCTGCCATCTTCCCTGCTTAGCTATGCTTGTGCAGAACTTACACTTTGGAAGTTCAGTAAAATATTGTGCCTGCTGTAAACTATACAGGAATGTCCCAGTGACAGGTATCAAGAGCAGTAGCAGATGTTTACTTTGCTTAATGCTAAATGCTTGATAGTTCAGCAAGGGTGTTCTGGCAGAAATGCTGCTTTGAATTCTAGTAAGACAGCAATGTTTGCAGTGTCTAAATAACAATAGAAACAATAACAACAATACCAAATCCTTACATAATGGTTCTCATTAGTACATTGCATGGTGATTTTCAAAAGAGGTCTGGCTCTCATCATTCTAGAAGGGAAGAAGCTGAGGAACAAAAAGGAAAAGTGATGCACCTACATTAATCTAGAAGTTCACTGGCAGGAATAAAATCTGTGTTGGTACGATTTTGTGCCCACTACATGATATTGCTCTTTATCACTTGTCCCTGTGCAATGTTTTGAAAGTTGCTGGCATGAGAAACCTTCCTGACACTATATAAAAGTGTTAGTCATAGTCAGGTATTATAAAGTTAATTCAAGAGTCCCTTTCTTTGCCTCTGCTGCAAACTACAAGTCTTCTTGCTGAAAAAATTGCTTCAGTCACTGAAAAATGTAGATTTCAGTTCCAAGGATCAAAATTTATTTGTTGTTGGTAGTTGAGAGTTAATATAGAGGAGTTCAGAATTAGTATTTCAGTAGTAGTTAATTGTACACTAGTACAAGGTTATGAATCAAATTGAAGTCTGCAGGGGAATTTTTTCTTCTGTGTGTACATGTTTTCCTTGTTCCAACTTCATCTGGTGTCTAGGATGCTTTGCTTTATTTTCTTTTATACCTTCTTACTTATTGCTCGGGATAGTACATGAAGCAGTCTACTTGATTTACTGGCACTCTTTTGATATCCTGCAAAGAAACATGATGAGCATGAGAAAAACAGGGCAGAAAAACAGAGAATGAAAGAGAAGCAGCACAAGGAATAAAAAGAGAGAAAAGGACACCAAGAACCACAAAGGAAGGAAGACTGACCAGATGGAGTTGATTTGCTTCTCTGGGAAGTTTACTACTGGGGAGTTTACTAGAATTTGTGCTCTATATCCCAAATTGGCCTTTTCCAAGTGTCTCCCATGTTATTCTCCTTCAGTGACTCCTACAAACTGGCTCACCTACTCACCTCACAGCAGAAATAATCTTTACTCTGCCAAAATGGAGAAGTATGTGGAGGAAGATTGTGAAAGCTTTTGTTTAAGAAACTGACTGACTCACATGCAGACTGATCATGGGTTTAGACATAAAGTAAGGGGCATCAGTGAGCTAAGTGTCTCCAGTTCTTGTCATTCCTTGGCACGCATAGATAACACATAGTAATCACTGACAAAAAATTGAGAGGTATTAACAAGGGGAACTGTGAATGTCAGTAAAGACCTTCTTTAGGTGCCTACTTGTTTCAGCTGGATATTCTATAGAGATTTGTGCTAAAATGCAGGAAGTTAGAAAGGACACTAATTCTAATCCAAACATGACACTGTGGAGAGTGTTTCAAAATATGTCCACATTCTGCTTGAAGCCTGAGTGCAGACTTTGTACTTGAGGACACTGCAGGCGTGTTATCTGGACACAAACTCATGCTCAGACATGGGTTTTTGGGAAGCCTGACAGCACACTGGAAGAGGAGGTATGGGCCAACATCAGCTCTTTGAACTAGAACTCTTTGAACTAGGCATGCAGCTTTCTCTGTATTTTATTTTTTCCTACAATATCTGTATTTTATCTCACTTTGCAGTGACGTTGCAATGGCTGCCATCAGCCAAACAAGTCAAACATCGAGGGGCCTTTCTAGGTGAAACCTGACACTGAACCCTGCAAGGTGAGATGTGATCACAACAAGGAATGAGCACGTGATGCCATCTAATGACATGGCCGTAAAAGTGCTCATCTATTGGAACATGGACAAAGGAATATTTGTTCTAAAGAACTTCCAACTCATGAAGTTTCAGCTTTTCTCAGCTATTATTGAAGTAAGAATATCAACAGGGAAGTGAGTAAATACCAGAAAAACTGTCATACCTGAAGTATGTACTTTTTTTTCACTTTTTTTCTTCGTTGTATTTGTCCTAAAAATAATAATTAAAAAGTTTAGGAAAAAACCCACAACATTATGCCATTGCCAATAAACTCAGGAAAAATTCTATCAGGCACACTAACACATGGAAATATTTTAATGTCACCACTCCACTCATATATGACACATCTGAACACAGGCTACATTTGACCACATCACTTAGGGCCTAGGTGTAGCTTTGAAAGTGATTGTGTTGAAGTCTTTTTTGTTGTTGTTGTCATGTAAGTGACAGAGTTTTCATTTCCTTCTACCATCTAACTTTTACTTGCTTAGTTTGTGAACACCATCACTAAAAAATCTGCTCCTTTTCTGTACAAGCCAGTGTGGGTATGGCAGTGAAGGAGATACAGAAAAGATTAATTTCTGGTGCCAGGACATGTTGCTGATTTTGGGCAGAAAGGAAATATTGAGTTTGCCCTATGCTATATGAATTCCTCACAGAGGGTGTCTAAATCAAAGCTGCCTGCATGCAGATCCTTCAGCACTCAAGGACACTGCTGGCACTTCAGTTACTGAACATTCATGGACTTTTGCTTGATTTCCCCTCTTTGTGAACCCAGAGGATGGGAGGGTGGGCAGAAGGAATGGCCTGTCAAAAGCCCCTAAACAGCTGAGAAATCCAGTTCTGGATACTTGGAAACCCCACCCTATATTCTTCAGCTTCCTAACCCATTAAAACAAAAGGAAAATCACAGTAATCCTGGAAAGATATTGCAATCATATATTTTTAAAGACAAATACACAACGCATTTTACTTTTCAAAGTCAGCAGCACAAACTTAGTATATCAGATTTGTTTTCAAAACATACCTACCTGGGTTTTCTCTTTTCTGTGCTTTTGCTCCGCTGTTTATCCACAGGACTTTTATTCTTTGGCTGCTTGGTGTTTTCTTGCTGAGTTGGTGGAAGGGAGCCGTGAAAGGTTTCTCTTTCCTTTTCAGTCTTGTCTGTGGCATCTACTACAGCTGGGAGGGGAACTTTGATGGAGGGGGCTTGTTCAGTAATTTCTTCTTTCTCTGTTTCGGGGTTAGGCACATCTTGTGGGTCATCCCTCTTGAAGGAAAAAATGAAAGATTAACAAAAGTAGCAGCAAATGACATAAAAAAAAAGAGCTCTGCCACAGAGGTGATCAGCACAACTGGAAATTTGTAATTATTTCCTGCATAGTAATCCCCTATATACTGAGTATTCTATAAAGTGGTGTCAGGCAGACCACCCATAGGAAATGTGATTTATTTCTCTATAAGAGAGACTACTCTTCGTGGTTTAGTAAAATTTCTGTGTCTGATATTCTTTTTAGGACCTCCTGAAACAGTTTTGCTGACCCACATTGTCCTCTTTGTTTCTCTCTTAGCTACAGTGAGCAGTTGTCTTTCTGCCTGTCTGCCTGCTGTAACATTTCTCTCAAGAACTTTCTGTTTCCATCCTTTGAATGGATCAAATGCCTTTGCCCTCTTTGCTTATTAGTTGTCAGTCCCTCCATGGGTCTCAGCTGTGACACATCTTTCCTTCTATGCTTTTTTTCTTGTGGGATTCAGGCAAAAAGAACCATTTAAGAACATACTCCTATCTGTGACACTAAACACTGAACAATAAGTAGCATGCTATTAATTGATGTACAAAAATTCATCGGGTCTATGGTGTGCCTAGCAGCCTCACTCTCCTGTAGGGAGTTTACAACAAGCCAGCTATTTTGATAAACAGAACTGCAGCTCTTTCAAAGCACAGAAAAACTTTCACTTGAGAAACAGTAAAAAATATTGGCACAAGTGTTGCTTTCTGACTGGTCAGCTTGACATTTTCATACCTATTTGCTAAAGACTCACATTTTCTGGTGGGTTGTTTGGGCTGGGAGCTTTCTCGTGACACATGCCCAAATCTTTCTCTTTTACATCAACTTTGGTATTGTTGGTATTTTCTGGGGGTTTCAGGAGAGAGATGAGCTGCAGCCACAGGTGGAAGAGGTGTTCTTGCTGGTCTGGTGGGGCACAGAGCTCTAGGTAATAGGAACGGCCATTTACTAACTTTATCATGAGGTGATGATGATCTCTGCTGTGGACAGCAAGTTCCACAAGCTCCAAGGGCAAAAACCTATTAAAAAAAGGGAAACAATACAGTAAGCACAAGTGGAGATTCCTCTTGAAGATACTGTGTCTGTCAAACCTACAGATTCCAGAGAAACTGGGATAGGAAGAAGCTGCTGAGTGGATTTGGACACGCTTCTTATGAGTGTCTCTAGCTGATTATGGAAGAAATACTGGGCAGCAGTTAACAGAATGGAGACAAAGGAAGTTGTCTTCTTTACAATGACCTTATTCCATTGACTTATTCCCTGACAATACTGTACCCCCAATCTTCCTACCAGCTTCCTGCTTCTGATATATTTAGAAAAAGGTTTATTAAGTATTCCTAGTCATCATCTGTCTGTATGCATGTGAGTAGCATTAGCCTGAAATGATGACTGAAGTGAGGCCTAAAGGTGTGTACTTAAACTTCTGGTTCTCCTAATTTTACTGTGCAAATATGAAATCTGTTAATAAACTGACCTTCAAAAGAAGGAAAAAGCTGTATGGAAATCGGAAATATGTTCATATTTCTTATCTACTCTCTTCAAGAAATATTTAACTCTTCTCAATGCTAACTAACCTGGTAAGTTCGAGCTGTTCCTTTTGGGATGGCTGCTCTGAGGCTTTCCAGATGGTTGGCACACTTTCCTGTGGGGACACGGACACCTCACGTGCAACCAGCATTGCATTGGGCAATGGTGAACCAGGACTGGCAGCACAGATGCCAATGGTCACGCAGCTGGTTCGGTTATGGATAGAAATTCGTTCCCCTCTTTGATTAACCTGAACAAAAGAAGACCTCATCAGAACTGATGCTTGTCATATGATCTTTAAGAGAATATACTACCAACACATTTCATGGTGTTCTGGCTTGGGTTGCCCTAGAGCTTATGTATTGGGTTGGTGGGAAGAGAGGGAAATGTGGGATAACGGAACAGGAATGTCTGTGAATGAAGAGAGGAGAGAACTTTAATGAAGATAAAAAGGGACTGGAAATCATTGGCTCTTGTGTAGTTCTCATCTGCTGCGGTCAGAAACCTCTTGAATGTAATTACCTTGAATTTTCTTAGTGTAAACATGCTGGAAGAGGCACTCTGTTCTGATTATTCATTGTTTTTATCAGCATTACTGTGATATTAATGACACCTGGTTATGAACCAGGATCCTGCTAGGTGCTGTACAAACACAGAATTGAAAAATATCCCATGTAATTTATGTGTAAAACATGAAATTACAGAAAGAAAAAAATGATAATATATAAGAAGATAAGAATGAGTTGACAAGTATGATTGAATCACATTATGTACCATTGTCAGGATTTGGTTTTGGTAGGCATCACAGGAAGTGTGTCCTAAGAAGGAATTTGAGGGAGGATAGTGCATTAAATTTGTGTTTATCTAGTAGAATCTCCTCCCAAGACTGAGAGACAGTATATAAAGAAAGATCAAAGGCTTTTCCCCCCACCCCCCCCACCCCCCCCCATGTTACTGTAGAAGAGTCAGTGATGGAGCTGTTTTCTTGGGCTGATTTGCTGCAGCAACTGCGTCCTTGATAGTAAATGAGGTCTGATAAATAAAGCAGGGATAAATCATAAAGTACCTTGAAAACAGAGACTGGTAGCTAATTAATGTTCTGCATGTGTATCAACAATGCAAAATTGAATTAATCAAAGCAAGACCAAAGGATGTTGTAATTATCAAAATGAGGTGATGAAACCCTGTGAAAAACACAGTTGAAATACATCACATAATCAGAATCCAGATGCTGTAGACACACTGTGAATGCAGAATTGCCAGAGCATATCTTGTTCTTTGGCCAGTGCTTAGGGTAAGGGGTAGGCAGGGTAGCGATATTGCCTGCAAGGGTACTGGAAGTTGTCTGTGGGACATGATTTTCTGGGAAATGCTGGCTGCCATCTAGGCTACATTGAACTGCTTTTGATGGCTAAAAACCTTAAAGAGATTGCAGAGAATCAGAAATTTCCTAGAACAGTTCCTAGCTGTTGCTACAGGAAGTTGGGGCTGACAAGAAAAGGTGAAAACATCACTTTTTGGCCTCCTTCTCTAAATAGCAGCATTGCTGTTGCTGTGTTTCTGGACTTGCCTTTAAAGTGTGAGCAGAATGAGTCTATAGGAGAAGGGAAACATTATATCCATATGTGTGTTGTAAACAGGGAATAAGAATGGTGAGAATAAATGTGTGAGGAATACCTGTTGAGGGAGTAAAAAAAGGGTAATCGTTGCAAGCAATTTTATCTTGAGCACACCAAATGATTTCATTTGAAGGACTTTTTACCTCAACAAACTTGCTTTCAAAGATGGGAGCACAGGTAAAAGGAGAATATTCTCCTTGGTTAAGAAGTCTCCGAAGGTCACCCATAATGGACGTCTGACTTGAACTGATGCCCTTAAAATCAAATTTGCTATCCATTTTGCCTATTCACAAAACAGGAACAAATTTACAAGTTAAAGGAAATAGAGATAAATAGGGTTACGTTATGAAAAGAAGCAAGCATAATCCTTCCTGATTTATGGGTTTTAATTATACTACTAAAGGTCAGAACATCTCCCTCCTATACACACATTTTTCAGAATGTGCAATCTCAAGTGCAACAGGGAGCTTAGCAAAGCTTTCCTACAGCTCTTGACTCCTCTTTTACTATTTATTTTCAGAAACAGAGGCTGTGAATTTATAAACACTGGCTTGAATGTGCTATTCTGTACTTCCGTGTGTTCTTGTTTGGAAGTAATCTGGTATATTTTTGCTGCTGTTAAGATAATATTTTTTGTTGATGTATTTTTCACATAAGTATAGTGATGTAGTTTTCAAACAACAGTAGAAACATTTGGGCTGTTCTCAGTGCTAGATGGTGACTTCTATCCTTGAATCTCTTGGTTCAGATATGCTTTTGGCAGGAGTCAAGAAGAGGACCAGACTTAGGAGACATTCTAAAGTAAAAAATCTCCAGCAGCAAACCAGGCTAACCTTAACAGAAAATCTGAAGAATATTGATTGACTCATTGGGGGGGGGGAAGTCAAGGCTGCTCAGTAATTGCATTTCATATATATTTAGTAAACAGTAACATTTTATTAAACAAAGTAGGTATTTTAAATTTTAACTATATTATTATTATATTGTTTAATAATAAAAATATTTTAAAATAAATTATATTAACCCAAGTAAAATATTTTTTTCATGATTGCTCAGTAAGTGCCAAGAACAGAGATACCTTGCTGCTAAATTTTTAAAAAGTAGATGTAGCAAATTACATCCCATTCATACCTTGTTTCATGCAGATCAGTCCATTTCTTACATAGAAGGGTATGTCCAAGAAAAGAGGGGACATCAGTGTGTTGGTCCCTTGTGTGGAGCCTGCTGGAATTGTTCCAGCATTAGAAATTCATGATTGACAGCATCATCAGCCACAGCCTTGGTGATACAGTTTCCCTGTTTGAGCTTCTTTAAGGAGTGATAATATGAAGCCAAGTGGTATGTGGATGCATGTCCGTGAGGCTGCAAGCTGTAACAGGCAGGCAGGGTGGTTTGGAAGAACCCAGCTTCATCACTGCTGGCATCACAATACATCACCATTCTCACCAGTCAGCAGAAGTTCTATTTCTTGGTTACATGTTAGTAGCAACAGGTAGCATAGGTTCACCTGTAACAGAAGCACATTAAGGGCATGACAACATCAGAGATTTCTCCATAAATGTTGTCCATGCAATGCAGGCTGCCAGGGAACAGCAAGATTTGGTATGCTCCATGAGAGATGATGAGCTATGAGCCAAGAATCACCTCAGCAGAGGCATTGCTTTCAACAGCCAAGGTATAGTCCTCCAGTCCAGCAGAATTCAAGGTGAATGGGCTGAGCAGGATGGTGGTAAGAGGGTCTCATGACAAGTAGAGACATGAAGAGGAACAGAACTAGACCTGGAGTCCCTCCTGAGACTCCATTCCAGGAGTCCAGTCAGGAGCAGCAGCAGGCAGGGCTGGAGACAGGGCTGTAAAGAGGTGTCCAAGGAAGACAGGGGTCCAGGCCAGCGCTCAGGTGTAGCTCCCAGACCCACGGGCAGGGGTTGGGGGGTGGAGATCCCAGGGGAGGCTTGTCAGGGCAGTTAATTTTGGTGCATTCAGGGCCTTAGGATTAATGAGCCAATTTAAAATGGAGCTTGTGTTCATGTGTCTTGCACTGGTTTGTAATTTTTAGCTTCTCTCTATACATTCTATTTTAGATCAATCAGATGATGCCATAATGAACCTAACAATGTTAACTCCTTTTTTTCACCTTATGTGGTAACACCACTTCTTCCAACTCAGCCTGATGCTTGGATGGGGTTTAGGGCCTGAATGAGCACGAGGCTGCTTGAAGCAGAATCAATATTGCAAAATGAGAATAACGTTGGCTGACAGTTTGAAGAGCTGTTGTACAATCTCCTTTGCAGGTACACAGCCTCCTCTGGGTAGGCAAACATCCTGCCTTGCTTACATAGGGCCCACTGCAGGACTGCCTGGTAATACTACGTACTGACACAGCAATTGCCAGCAGAAACACTTTATGCTCTCTCCACTATAGAAGACAACTCTGATCCAGCATGGAAAACACTGTTTCTTTTCTTTCCCAGCTGATACAGACCCCTCACTCAGACACATGCACCGGTGCACACACAGAGATTATTGTCTCTGCAGTAGCTGGCTTTGGACACAAAGTCCACCCAGTAGCTCGTCCTGGATCCTTGGTCTTTCTAGGTGCCTCCCCCCTGGAGACACCTGTGCGCACGCACGAATGAGTCTTCTGTGACCTGCAGACCCCAAGGTCTCTTCATAAGCCGTCTTGGACTCTGCTGGCCCCCCGGTAGCTAGCTCCTCCCATGGTCTTGCCTCTTCCTCACCCAGGAAAAAAGTTAGAAATGACATTTAATAAGATAGTACAGACTGTGGTGATGGGGAAGGGTACAGGGCATGGCCAGACAAGTGTACTTGTTTATACTCGACCAGCCCTTTTTATCCCTGTATTTTCCTACATCTGCTCCTCCCCAAGTCCCCTACAACTATCCATTATCTCACTTTTGATTCCTCTCCTAAACATCCCTTAAAAATGCTGTGCAGTCCTAAAATGCTCTTTCCC